GTCCATTGAAACAGATTATTTGACAATGTTTGAAAAATCGAAAATAATCGATTAATCAAAAATAATCGATTAATTAAAAAGTCGATTAAATGATAAATCAATTTTCAAAAAAAACAGAATTATCGAATATTTTAAATAATTGATTATTTTTCATCGATCGATTATTATCAATAATCTACTTTTTTGTATTTCCTTTAGAATCGATAATTTGATTATCTTTGAAATATCGAAAATAATCGATAATTTCAAAATATTCGCCTAATCGAAAATAACCAATTAATTAAGCGATTCTATGATAAATAGATTATTATCAATAATCTATTTTATTGTATTTCCTTAAAATCGATAATTCGATTATCTTTGAAATATCGAAAATAATTGATAATTTCAAAATAATCGCCTAATCAAAAATAACCAATTATTTAAGCCGATTCTATGATAAATCGATTATTATCAATAATCTATTTTATTGTATTTCCTTAAAATCGATAATTCGATTATCTTTGAAATACCGAAAATAATCGATAATTCCAAAATAATCGCCTAATCGAAAATAACCAATTAATTAAGAAGCCGATTCTATGATAAATCGATTTTCCAAAAAATAAAACAAATTATCGATTATTTTCTAATAATCCTTTTTTTAATATTTCCTATAAAATTAATTATTCGATTATCAAAAATAATCGATTATTAAAAAGCTGATTAACCAATAAATCGATAATTTTAAAAAATAACCAAAATATCGGTTATATAAAATAACCGATTATATTCAATCGAATAATGAAAAAACCAATTAAACGAAAATCGATTATTTTGAATAAATCTACTTTTTTTTATTTACTTTAAAATCGATTAATACATTATCTTAAAAAAAAAACAAAAATAATTTATTAAAAACAGCGGATAAATCGATTTTCATAAAAAAATATCAGAATTATCGATAAATCGATTATTTTTGTAACCCCTATCGATCGTTTGCTTTTATCCGAGCGTTTAGCTCAAAAATTTAGAGATTCGGATTTTTTGATCCCGTTATCTTTGAAACCGCATTCGATTGTATAATAAATAATAAATATTGCTAAATTTTGGATTTTTTTAGTAAACGAAAATTTTGTTCGAGTTGTTTAGGGGTTTGTAATGTAACATTTTATTAATGTTACCAACTCCCGTAACTTTAGTATTTTTTTTGCCTATACTAGATCATATGGTGCGTTTTACTTTGTTAAGACTGAAGATTCAAATGTCACTTTCGATTTGACCGCAAATAAGATGAACCTTAAAATTTTAAGTAGGTCATCCTGTATTTCATCTAATATTCTTATGAAAATACCTTATAAAAATAAAATTTAGCTAGCAACTATGATTCTTTACTTCTTATTTATCTACCAAAAAGGGCTTAAAATCACCTTTAGAAAACATTCTTATAAAACTACTTTTTAAATACAAAATTTCGTAAGCAACAATGCCTATTTACTTTTTATTTAAATTAAATGTTCAAAATTTTATCTTTTTGTAAAATGTAAGTAATATGAAATCTGATTTCGGATGCTTAATATTTATTGAAACCCCTTAATGCGGATCTGAAGTATTCAGCCCAGAGAATCATGGCGCTTTATGTCAAAACGTCAATAAATATTTACCGCTGAAAAGGAATATGTTCATAATATTAGTACTAGTATTATAAGTACATACATTTTTTCAAGATACATCGTGGCATTTTGAACTTGTAATTGATTAACTAGAGCACTTTAAATTGCTAAAATAACAACAAATAAATCAAAAAACAGCTGTCAATGGTGATTAAACTCAGGTGGAGGTGATCGATGAATGGAAAAATCGGAGCAATTCGGGTGGCGTCGTGCAAACAATGATTTTCAATTGGTGGGTTACTTTGGGTTAAAATAGACAACATGCGCAGTGTGCAATGTTACATCTTCGGTCTCTTTAATCTAAGGTAGAAACTAACCACACTCAGCTTTGCACAAAGCACAAAGCAAATAAGTTTGAAATTAACGTATATAGTATTCCAAGGTTTTCTTTAAATAATATTTTTTTTTACCTATCTAATAAAAATGTGTAGGTATATTATGTGCACTTATATAAAAGATGAAGCTCAGAGGGTAATCGCTGCATTGATATAACGTAGCACCACAATTATTTTCACTCATTCATTGTTATTGGTAACTTCCCTGTAGATATGTAACAAGTGATTGTCAGTCACATTACATTTTAGTGTTGCTACTCTTAACAATTCGCGTATCGGGGATAACACTAATCATTTGTAGTGCGCATGTCGTATGCGTTTTATTTGTACATCCGTCTCCTTTTGACAGAGTAGGTGAGCTGTGTCCAGACCGTTGGTGTTTATGCCGGTCGGCGTAGCCAGGTATGGATTGAAATTTTCTGGTGGCGGCTTCGCCGCCACCTCTACGAGAAGTCTTTGCTTCGCCTTCTTGTTGTCACGGCATTATTATTTGTTCATGTATGTGAAATTTGCTTCTAAGGTTTATAAATGAAAACAAACAAGACGCATTCACACAAACACCTCCCACCACAGCAATTACAAATGATTAGTGTTGTCCCCGATACGCGAGTCTTTTAATACTATAAATCAGGGAGGTGAGTAGGGATGGCGACGACATTACGTGATGTAAGTATTATTACTTTCGCCATATTGATATGAAATTTTATCATTTGCATGTGTAGGCGTCATAACATTGTGTTTTTATAGGGTAGTAAATCTCTATAAAGAACCTCACCATCGTACAAGATTTATTGCTATGTAGGTAATTTTTAAGCAAAAAAGCCAAAAAACACGTTTCTGGTAGGGGAATCCTCTTTAATTTTTAAATCATTTTTGTTACAGCGGCAACAAAAATACACATTCTGTGAAAATTTCAATTGTCTACCTATTACGGAACATGAGATGATACGGAAACCAAACAAGGATGCCAAATTTCCGCAAAATTACAGGCCTATTAGCTTGCTCCCAGCTATGAGTAAGATTGCGGAAAGAATTATCCTAAGAAGGTTAAAAGAAGAAACTAGAAACGTAAATATACTATCTGATGAACAATTCAGATTCAGAGAGAAACACTCGACCGAATTGCAAATCCTGAGACTCGTCGAAGGAATCACCAGAGGATTAAACAGAAATCAGTCCACAGGAACCATATTCTTGGATGTCGCCAAGACATTCGACCGAGTACGGCACGCTGGGCTGATTCTTAAGATGAAAGACCCAGGATACACAGTAGGTATGACAAGGTTACTCAGGTCGTACCTCGGGTCCCATCTTGACAAGTCCTATCTAGACCACTGCTGTATTCCATTTACATGGCGGATATCCCAAAAACGCAACATACTACCATGTCCAGCTATGCGGACGATACAGATATCGGCAACGAGCACACAGCCAGGAATCATATTTAAGATATCTGCAAGACGCAGCGAAAGACATAGAAGAATGGTGCCATAAGATGGAAGATCAAGATCAACGCGGAGAAGACACAGGCTGTGCTGTTCAAGAAGAGACGTCACCCTCCAGGAGAAGAAGTAACGATGAATGAACAGGACATCCCATGAACTGACTCAGCCAGATACCTAGGAGTTATTATGGACCAAAAACTCACCTTCATCAAGCACGCGAACATGGTAATAAAGAAGACGAAACAGGCAAGATCTAGACTAAACTGCTTAATAGGACTTAAGCAAACTCCTACTACAGACAAAAATGAGGCTCATTCAGGCAGTAATTATGCCCATACTGTTGTACGCGTAGGGTTACACCTGTAAATCAAACAGAAAGAGGGTACAAGTACAACAAAACATCAGCCTGAGATGGGCCTCAAAGTTCCTAGAAATGACGTAATTATGAGGGATCTAGAATCCAAAAAGGTCCTATACCTTATACACAAGAAGGCCACTGACACCTTTGAAAAACTAAGGACTCACCCAAACATGGAACTACGCGAATTAACAGAATACGAGAGAGCGGATTACAGGAGACACGCCAGACCACGTAAATGTGCTGGAATAAGTGACCGAAACACGGAAGGTGTAAAAATTCAAGACGCTCATAGATCATAAGATTTCTCTTTCAGCATTCTTTTTCAGCATTCTCTTTCAGAATACGTTACAAGATACAACATGTGATTCAGACAAGGACTGAGCAACAGACGACAACCCACCTGGGGAGAAGGTCCTCCTAGTTGCCAATGGAGACTGGGAGAGCTTTCACAGGTGGCGAACTCTCACAGAATAAGCACACAAGACAAACAAACGGACAACGAAACAGGGAAATGCCCTCAGCAAATCCTGTCTAAATGATGATAATATGTCATTCTTCATAGCCCTTAAGAAGGACTGGCATAATAATCAGAAGGATTGACCTTAAGACCCCCTGAGTAAAGCTGTTGAGGGGGTCGGTGGGGTCAGGAGGGTTTCGATCCAGTAAAACAGGATGGGAACCTATCCGACTTGGGCTCAAGTAAGGCGTGTGTATGTGTGTGTGGAGACCTCAGTTCCCTATGTCAGTTCCAAAAAGCACAAACAGCGCGTTGTGGCGAATGCGATATTGAGTAAATATTTTGCGACTTACCTATTCTCGTTTACGTATTTACGTCTACGATAAATTACAAATTATGGATACGTTTTTAAAAAGAAGTCTACGTTTGAAAGTGCCAGTAATAAAAGGAAAAACAGACTTTACAATATCTTAAATATGGTTACCGTTATTTACAATAAACCACAATGTGTTATTTGTGCTATTTGTGGAGAAGTCTTCGACATTTAAATAGCAATCATCCAGATAAAAAAGACAAACCTGTAAAAATTATCTGATTTTTCCAGTAGCTGTTGAAATAATACATATAATGTTTGGTGAAAAAGAGGCTGCCAAGTTAAAAACAATACCTCTGTCAAATAATACTATCCAAAGAAGAATTAGTGATATGGCAAAAGATATTCAAGTTGTAGAAAATTTTAATAAATGCACGTACCTTCTCTCTTCAATGAACGAATCTATAGATATATCAAAACTGTGGCCAATTTATTACGTTGGTAAGATATGATACAAATAATGGCATTCAAGAAGTTATTTTATTTTATTCCCCACTGGAGACATATACCGCTGGAAAATGTTTATTCGACACTTTTGTGAAAAGTAAATAATAATATATTGACTGGGAAAAATGTAATGATATATGCACAGATGGCGCTGAAGATATGACAGGTCTTATCGTCAGATTAGAAGCAATAACACCAGTTTACAAAATTTAACTTTTTGTCTGTTGCCGCGAATACTGTGGTTGATAATATTCACTTATGACTTGTTTTGTCAAATCTAACCGCAATATTTTTTGAGCAGCTCGAGTTACTTTGTTTTTGATTTTTATCATTTAAGCGTATATATTAATCGATAACAGGCATATTTTACTGTGTTAAGATTGGTATCTGAAGTTTCTGCGTCATAAGTAGTTCAAGGAGACGTTGTTTGAACAATCCAGATCATTTTTGCTATATATGCGGAGAATATGTGTTTAACGATTGTAGAAAAGTTATATCAGAGTTGGTGAAAAATACCTATTTTGAGTATTTTGGGATGCCCTTGGATAAAAATGAGAAGTCTTGGGCTGCCAGTTGTGTTTGTAAATCGTGTGTGGAATATTTAAGATTATGGAAAAGTGGTAAAAGAAATGCCTATAAATTTGAAAAACCGACTATTTGGCGAGAAGCACGAAATCATCTCGAAAACTGTTATTTTTGTACCGTGAACGTAAACGGTTTAAACACTAAAAATCGAGCTAAATGGCAGTACCCAAGTACTAGTTGTGTTCAACGTCCAGTGAAGCGTTCACCTGACTCTTTAGTGCTTAAAAATATATCTGAACCCTTAGAACAAGACATTGAAGGACCAAGCCCATCACAAAATGATGCTGATTTTAAAGGTATGTCAAATGAGCCAAAATTCTTTTCCCAAAATGAGTTAGATGATCTTGTAAGAGATTTAAATATTTCTAAGCTAGCTTCAGAATTGTTAGCATCAAGACTGAAAGAAAAAAATTTGCTTTCCTCAGAAACTAAAATAAGTTTTTATCGTGAAAGAGATAAAGAATTACGGCGTTATTTTTCCGAAGAAAACGGTATTACCTTTTGTTCGGATATTAAAAACTTGTTAATAAAAATGGGCTTGGAACAATACGAACCAAAAGACTAGCGTTGATTCATTGACAGCTCAAAACGCAGCTTAAAATGTATTCTATTGGAAATACATAATGGAAATAAATACGCTAAGGTACCTATTGCCCACAATACAAAGTTAAAGGAAGAATATTGTAACATTTCGCTAGTCTTGAAGAAAATAAAAAACAGTGACCATAAGTGGCAAATTTGTGTCGATTTAAAAATGGTGAACATTCTTCTCGGTCCACAAAGTGGTTACACTAAGTTTCCCTGTTTTATGTCATTGGGACAGTAGAGCTAAACAGGAACATTGGGTAAGAAGAAATTGGCCTTTGAGAGAAAATATGAAGCCTGAAAAGCAAAATATAGTCCAGAATTCATTAGTAGCTCGTGACAAAATTATTCTTCCGCCAGTACATATAAAACTGGGCATCATGAAACAGTTTGTTAAATCACTAGATAAAGACGGAAACTGCTTTTCTTACATTTGCCGGTATTTTTGATGGCCCCCAAATTAGACAACTTACGAAAGATACTCAATTTATAAATTCTATGACTAAGTTAGAACTAAAGGCTTGGACAGCTTTCGTTTCTGTGATGCAGAATTTTTTCGGAAATAAAAAATCTGCTAATTACATTGAACTTGTAGAAGACCGTCTGCTACAATTAAAAAATATGGGGTGCATTATGAACATAAAACTTCACTTCCTCCAGTCACCTGGACAGGTTTCCGGAAAATTTATGAGATATGAGCGAAGAGCAGGGAGAGCGTATGCATCAAGACTTACGCGTCATGGAAGAGCGCTATCAGGGTGTTTGGGACACGAATAATATGTCCCACTGTTGTTGGTCTCTGATACGTCATTTTCCAAAGTCTACATATAAGAGAAGAGCTTTAAAATGAAGTTTTTTAGAACTCATTGATTAATTATTTTTTTAGTAAAGTTTTTCTTAGTAAATACATGTTTTTTTCTGTTTTATACCTACATGGCTGAAGCTCAGAAACTAGAGCTGATATGTAGTCAGCAACAGCTAAAATTTGGCAACAGATGTACTGTAAACTAGTGTAATGCCTAATGCTACATGGAGACATTGTTTTTTACATGGAGAAGCTCTTACATCAAAGCTTTACCTCCTGAGATGGACTGTGTTATGAAAACCATGATTAAAGTTATAAATTACATTAAAGGAAACGTGTTGCAGACCCGTATTTTTCGAAAAATCTGCGAAGACATGGGTGCTTTATTTGAAAATCTTCTTTATCACACCGATGTAAGGAGGCTCGATTCATTTTATTGCTTTCAGGAAATTATGGAAGATGTATCCAATTACAGTGATACACATTTTGAACAAGTTTTTTTGCAGGTATTCAAGTTACTTTGCTCAATTTAAAACAACAGCTCTGTGATTATTTCTCAGAAGAAATTAAAAACAGTTACGACAGTTGCAGATGGATACTAAATCCGGTTTTAGCATATTCCTTTCAACATGTTGAAATACCAATAAACATAAAAGAAAAACCTAATTAAATATCAAGTGACGGAATGTTGAAGCTCCAATTGTTTTCCCAGAACCCGGACGGATTTTGGACCAAAAGGATGCAGGTATACCCTTAGGTGGCGAGTGAAGCTGCAAAATGTTTGGTTACATTTGTAACATTGTATTTATGTAAGCTAAGTTTCTCGTCTATGACTGTCATTAAAACAGAAATGAGAAATAGTCTCTTACTTAAAAACAATATAATTTTGTGTGTCTCAAACACATATTAGATTTAAAAGACTAGTTTCAAAAAAACAGGTGCATGGGACTCATTAAAATTATTATATTACTCTTTATTTTTCTCTTATATTTTCACGAACTAATTAATACTTAGTTTTATGTTTCGATTGATAATAAATTTTCAATTTTTATTATATGATTTAACAAAGTTGTGTTTTTGTCTTATTTTGGAAATTTTCGGCGATCCCACTAGTACCTCATTGCGACCCCCTAGGGGGTCACGACCCACACTTTGGGAAAGACTATTAAACTATTTAATTTGTTTAACCAATCCTATCTCAAATGTTAGTTTAAAGCAAGCTCCCCATTGTGCTGCCGTTTACTTAGTAAACATGTATCTTCATCCTTTCACACCTCCCAACTACAAATCATCTATTATTTCCTTGACAGCACATTATTGGGGATGTTATTCGGTGCTACTGGTACTTGCATGTTCATCGATTGTATAATTTTTTGGTTTGACCTAGAATAGGAAAACTAATTGGAAACAATGTATTTTGCTGTATTAGCACCTTTTAAATCCAGTCGATAAGGAGGCGTGTGGTCCTATACAATACAATTATTTAATTTGCGTTACATCTTAAATACCTATGTAACATACAGTATTTAAATTTTTCATAAATTCTTTCACAATTCTAAATGGAAATGAGTAATAATAATTTTTGGTGCCCGTCGTATCAATGCAATGAATTGCAAATACACAACCAATTTTAAAATGTATTATTTTCTAATAATTTTCACCATATCGTTTCAGAAAACTGTACGACAAAATTAAAAAAAAAACACTGGATTTTTCTTTATTACTAATAATAATACCTATCACGGGCAAACATTTTTTCAGACTTTTTGAACCTTGAATTCCGATTTTGTATTTTGTACTGGTTTCTGTTCTTTTTTAGCATCAGTGGCCTTTGATAAATGGCAGTGGAACCATTTGTGGAATCACTGGATCAGAATGGTGATGTGTAAGGTTGTCATCATCTGTTTCAGAATCATCATCGACACTAGGATCATTTTTATCATTTTGTCAACTGTTCTCAGACGGTTCGCAGACGATTGTCAAGGAATGTGCGTGTGTTAGAGCAGCCCAAAGTGGTGATCTGAAACAAAACAGTTTATTACACCAAGAAAAGTAAAGAAAACGAATATCCTAAAAGTTTTGGTACAAGATTCATTGGCTTTATTTTTAATAAAAATGAAATATTATCAAGTTGCCTTTGAAAACAAAATATTGCTTACTTTGTCAACTATCAGTTAAGTGTTACTTATTTTAAAGTTCTTGTTTTAGATGTATAAATTAGAAATAAGAAAAAGTGTCTACAGCTTGCTGAAACATTTCAAATATTTCAGTATGAGAATATTTCACACATAACCATTTATCGAACAATAGCGGACTGAAAGCAGGGAATATCACGTGTCTGAATATCCCAAAAAGTGGAAAAAGGCAAGTATTTACTGCATAGAGAAGAAAATAAAAATGGTACCTATATATTGTACTTCTAAGAGTACGATATCGTTGGAATTAAAGAGGAAATGCTTTCGATATCGAAAGAGGCGTAAGTCCCCCTAGTACATTCAAGGGCAATTGCTTCGTATACCAAGTTTTTCTGACATGAAAGAAAACGATGGGTTTTATACTGACAATTTAGAGGAATGCCTAAAAAATGTTAGGTACAAACATAAAGTGCAATTTGCGGATAAAATCCTTGTCTGGTGCGGTGGTGCTCAATTTCTATCGGGTATTTTGGATTCTAATTCTATAACGTGTGGTGGGTTACTCCACTTAGGCGTCACTTGGCCCATTAAGCATCCTCCTAAGGTGATACACCTCCTAGCTTGTAAGCCAGCCTACAGGTTTGTGTAGTTGACAACTCTATGATATGGAGATGCTTTCGTACTTGACAATGACCAGTCAGAATGCCTGTGACCAATCGTAGATTCTGTCTAGTCATAGTCAAGTATTTGTTTGATTGTAGTATTTATTGTCAGTATAACTTATAAGCTCCCTGGCAACTCTGCAGTTTTTTATTTCATCCCACCTTCCCTTGAATTTTACAAGGGAATGTTCTTTAATTAGGTCTGTCACTGCCGATTTTCTCAGGCCAATAGAAGGGCTAGGTCCATAAAGTATTTGGATGCTTTCTTGGCCAGTCAATCAGCAAGACGATTACCTTTCGATGTGGCGTGACCTTTTATCCATCTTAAGGTGACCAACCAACCCCGGTTTCCCCTATCCATTGTTGATGGATACTTCGGCCAAAGCTTCGTGACATTCTACTACTAACCTTGGATTGTCACGAGTATATCCCGACCTATTTTAGGAAGAGTGAGAGGCGAAGCTTTGAATAGTCAGAGCTGTATTGATAACTGCCTTTCCAAATTGCTTCATTTGTTTGCAAACATCATACTGATGAGTATATAATTTTTTGACCAGACTTGGTATCGTGCCATTTCTTAAGCGACATTTAAATCTAACACATTTACATGGAACATCACATCAACAAGACAATCTATTTAAATCCTCTTGTACATCTGTTTCATTGGAAACTGCTCCAAATATCTTTAAATCATTAGCAAACTTGAGATGTTTATTGTTTGAGACGACATCAGAAAGATCATTAATAAATAAATTAAATAGAAGCGGGTAGAAATGAGATCCCTGCGGTAAAGCGGATAAAACTGTAATTGCCTCCGATTTAATGTTGACATATTTTAACATATTACACAAATAATTATCAACCCAATTTAGTATATCTCCAAACCCGTATCGTCAGAGTTTAGCCCTTTGTATGTCATGGTTAAATCTGTCAAATGCTTTTAAAAAAATCAATACAAACAAAGTTAACTTGACACCTCGATTCTAGGGATTCTATGATGAAATAGTTGTAATTCACTAAATTCGTAGAAGTAAATTTAACTATACAAAACCAAAGTTTAAATACTCATTAATTAAACAATTCCATATTTTAGGAATTTTAGATTGTATATAAACTGCGCGGTAGTTATCGACTTTTCCTTTTGGTCCAGATTTGTAAATAGGTCTTTAAGAACTGCTTTTCCAATAATGAGGACATTCGCCACAAGAAAGGTACAAATTAAAAGGAAAACATAAAGGTTTTGCAAAGGATTGTTTTAAAAAGCAAACAGGAATCTCATCTGGGCTAGCCGCAAGTTTCCATGGTAAATCCATGGCATGATTAACAATACCACTATCTTCAATTTGACAGTAGTTTAGTTTAATGGAGCTATTAAAATTAAATAATAAAATTTGCAATGTCTGAGCATACCGCATACCATTGTGTTTCTCATAATTTCTTCAAAACAAATCATTGAATGCCCTTTAAGAACGAGTCTGTTTGCTTCAGACACCTGATAGGGGAGACCGGGGTTTATTGGGAACAAGGGTTGGTTGGTACAATCGCGAAATTTCGTAACCTGTTCGTCCGTGCCTATTTGAAGATCTCGACCGCGTGCCACACGGGGGTTTATATCACATGCACAATACATAAACACGTTTCTGCGCATGCAACTCCGCGATTTGGTGCTCTGAAGTCCGTTTTACAACAGCAAAATTGTATTAAAATGTAAAGCACATTGATTAATTTAATAACATCTCGTTCAGTAACACACAAAAAGTGTTGTTTCAAAAATTTGAATTCATATATTATAACAATCTAAAAAAAAACATGCCTTCACTTAGTTATTTGTACTATGTGAAGATGGCTTTCTGTCCGCTGCATGACTGCTGGCTGCCCGCCACATACTTTGATTACTATACGGTGCAAGAGAGAGGTCCGACACGCCCAAAGACATTAGTTGTAATGTCTTTGGACACGCCCAACATAGGGCGCGGCCATTTTGATTCATATGCCACAGTTTATAGCTAAAGAATCAGATCGTTCACTCTGCGTCGGCACTTTTGAACTAAGTTTATACACTGCGCAACTCGGATAATACAATATATGACAACCGCCTATAATAAAACAGCAGTCTTCTGCGTATCCTGAATTAGTATCCCTGGAGTGGATGTTATTTTGGAACTTTCAACTGGTCCGAGTGAGCTAACTGATTCTTTGGCAATAAACTGTGACTCCAAAAAAATATTCACTGACACTGACAGCAGCAAGCAAAATATTAGGTGCGTTTTAATCATCCGCTTCTGCTTCCGGAATTGTCGGTTTAGTCGTTTTAACCTATCAGATTAAAACAAGAAAACCGACAATTCCGAAGCAGAAGCAGATGATTAAAACGCACCTATTAAAAATATTGTGCCAAGATGTAGGCAACACGTTTTCTATCTCCGTTTAAAAGGCACTCAGAAAGCTGCGCAGTGCGACCATTCTCCGTATAGTAAAAGAAAATCAAAGTATGTGCTGCCCGCTATAGCGGGCCCCGCGCGCGCTTTCAACAAATAACATCAAAATCAAACAAATGTATGGTTATGTTATGGTTTTGGTTGTCGACGAAAACATGTGAGTGGAACTACTTTTATTTATTCTTTTAGATATAAGTTATTTAGGATTATTTAAAATCAAGTAAAGGTATTTTGATGCTTTAACATGTCTTCACTAGGCAGAATTCATTATAAACGCATAATTTCTAATTGTTAGTAAATAATAATATTAATATTAGACATTCTTGCTTCGCATAAGCTCGCTTGTATGGGGGTGAAGTGCATGAAAAATAATTTTTTGTATTGCCATCTCTGATATATTTTTTATTTATTTTTCTTGGGAATTTTTAGTAAATATAATTAAATAAAACTTTGTATGATATTTATTGCATCCCCCATAATTATTTGTCAAAGAATTTTACATTTTTATTGGGCATTTCATAATTGTTACAAACAGCTAATAAAAAAGGAAAATTTTAATTATAATTAAGAGGAAAATTTACTTAAGCAATTATCTTTTTCTAAACAATACGAAATAGAGCCATAAATATTTCTATAGTTTAATTTTACTTTTTAGTGTATGAAAAATATGTACCTTCCCTTCAGCTAAAAGTGAAATGTCCGTTTTTCTGGCGCCACTATTCCGAAATTTGATTTAATTATTTTCTCAATTTTTAAAATCTTTATAAAAACAAAATTTTGCGATTTATTGCCATCAAAATTTGATTAAATTTTGAAAAAGTGGCTCCAGAGGAACATATTTTAGCTACACGTACATGTTTTTTATTTCACTATAAATTAAAAAAATTACTACCAAAATTTGGTATGGCTATATTTCGTATTAGTTAAAAAATAGTTGCAAAAGTAAATTCTCCTTTAAAAAAACCCGCCAATTTTCAAATTAAATATAAAATTACGGGTAACTGCATTACCGACAGAGTAAGAGTTGATGGTAATACTGCTGGTAACTACATTACCGACAGAGTAAGATTAGTTCAACTCCTCCCCCCCATAGGTCGCTGCAAGCAAACATGTTGCCAAATTTCTACAAAGAAACGGCAACTCTTAATAATCCTTCCTCCATGGAGTGTCAGTTGGGAATAAGTATCGTTGATGTGCGGTCGTTGTTACGAGTTTTATTTGTTGTACGTGATTTTGTTACCCGTAAGTTAAAATTTATGATTTTGAAATATTTATATTATAAGTTTTGTGGCTTTGTCGTTAACTACAGAATATGTATATTCAGAAACATTGCGCATTTTTCTATTATTTAAAAATAGTAAACCTTGATTAATGTTACTCTGATGAGTAGTTATGGTATTTTTTAAATAAAAAATTACATTGAGGATGGTTGGTACACACTGTGCAGGGTTGGTTGATACAGTGTACCAACCAACCCTATACCTAAATTTGTGTTTTTTCTTCGTTGTGCTTCTAGCTTTCAGTATACGAACGTTCAAAAGAAAGTCAAAAAGAGGCAAAACTCCTCCAGATGTTATGCTGAGAGCTGCCAGAGCAGTAAAATTACAAGGAAAATCTTTAAGATCAGCGGCTTTAACATTCCATTTAACACTGCAGCAAGTTTACGCTAGACGAACTTCAAGCGGAAATAGTAACGCCTTCAACCATTGTTGGATACTTTAAAAATAAACAAGAATTGTAAAACATATACTTAATAAACTGATTGGTAATAAAATGTTTTGTTGTAGATTTTAACAAATCTTCAATAATCCAACCTAGTAGAATACATAAAAAAAGCTATCGATATTTACTACGGTCTCACGCCCAAACAAGTGAGAAGAATGGCTTTTTTATTTGCAACTTCTCTGTCATTGACGCTCCCTGATAGTTGAACAAAAAATGAAATGGCAGGCCCCGATTAGTTTACATCGTTTTTATCGAGAAATCCTAAGCTGTCCATAAGAACACCTGAAGCCACCAGCCTGTCTAGGGCTACTAGCTTTAATAAAACAAATGTAGCGGCATTTTTTAGAAATCTAGAAAATGTTCTTAAAAGGTATAAATTTAATCCTGGAGACATCTGGAATATAGACGAGACAGGTATAACGAAAGTTCAGAGGCCTGACCGAATTGTGGCAAGACGTGGTGCTAAAAAAGTAGGAAGAGTTACCTCGGCAGAACGTGGTATTCTTGTAACTGTAGCGTGTGCTGTTTCAGCTACCGGAAATACTGTGCCACCTTTTTTATTTTCTTGCGTATTCGATTTAAGCCCTATTTTCTTTAAGATGCCCCGCCTGGAAGCGATGGAAGTGCTGGATGAAAGAGGAGCATTTTATAGAATATATTCGACATTTTATCAAATACGTCAAAGCATTTAAAGAATATCCTCTCGTTCTTTTGCTAGACAACCACGATTCGCATTTATCTTCTAATGCACTAAACAACTACAAAGATCATGGAATAACAGTTTTATCGTTTCCACACCACTGTAGCCATGAGCTGCAACCTCTGGACCGCAGTGTGTATGAACCTTTAAAAAAGTATATCAATTCGCTCCGTGCGCGACAGCAGCGCCAATTTGTTTTGGTATTAAAGGAGTATTTCTGCCTATACTGACAAATACAATTTTTAATAGAATTCGTAAATAAAAAGTATATATTGTAATGAAAACCAATTATCAAAAATTTAAGATCAAAATTTGGTTAGTCAAATATATATTTTTAGTAAATAAGACATAGAATATTATCATCCTGTACAGCAAATTTAATTTGAGTCAAGATGTCAAATTAAATTGGATAAGTCAGAGATATCCGAGGAGACGAGGAGATTGATAGGAAGTTTGAAAGATATCCTACGGGAATCAGCTTTCGATAGAAAATTTTTTAAATTATCTAAAGTTAGAGCCTCGATGCATTTAAACAGTTTTTCTTTTTGAAAAAGTTGTAATAGTTCAATAACAAAATACTAATATAGACAAGTTGTATCACTTACGTTGTATAGCGAAAGTAAACGGGTGAAATTGTATGTGAATCTGGTAAAAGCAGAATACTGGAACTGGAGACTTAAATTGATAAGAAGGTCTGGATTTGGATATGATATAAGTTCTTGATAGCAGAAAAGACATTTTCCTGTGAGTAATTAGTTTTATAATAGTGTGAAATCATAATAGACAATGTAAATCAATATCACGAATTTAACAAACTATATTTACTTTTGGAAACTGAAGCTAGACCATTGAATAGTAGGATTAATTAAATTATTTAGAATAGTTATTTTTTGAAAATTAAAACGTCAAATTTTTTTTAATTGTCACCTTGAAATTTATAGTTAGATTTCAAATCATAAATATAGAGTTTTAAAGAACTATCTGGTAATAGAAAATATACAGAAAGATTTAAGTTATATGTTATTTTGTTCATAGCAATTATTAGTAAGGGTGTATGGTGATGAATGCATGGTTAGAGTAATTAAGTTAGTAAGTTAGTAGATAGACAATTTTGTGGATGTTCAGAGATTTGAACTTTGTATAATTTATTGATAATACATTCTGAACTTTTGTACATACAATTTGTCTATTTAATAAAAAATAATTTTTTTACAGGGTGATACAAATAACAATAATAACACATAATATTATTAATTAATTATTATATAAATTACAGTTAAGGTAGTTTACTGTTGGAATTGTTGTTGCTACTATTTAATAAATAAACTAAATAAACTAAATAAACTAAATAAACTAAATAAACTAAATAAACTAAATAAACTAAATAAACTAAATAATCTAAATAATCTAAATAATCTAAATAATCTAAATAATCTAAATAATCTAAATAATCTAAATAATCTAAATAATCTAAATAATCTAAATAATCTAAATAATCTAAATAATCTAAATAATCTAAATAATCTAAATAATCTAAATAATCTAAATAATCTAAATAATCTAAATAATCTAAATAATCTAAATAATCTAAATAATCTAAATAATCTAAATAATCTAAATAATCTAAATAATCTAAATAATCTAAATAATCTAAATAATCTAAATAATCTAAATAATCTAAATAATCTAAATAATCTAAATAATCTAAATAATCTAAATAATCTAAATAATCTAAATAATCTAAATAATCTAAATAATCTAAATAATCTAAATAATCTAAATAATCTAAATAATCTAAATAATCTAAATAATCTAAATAATCTAAATAATCTAAATAATCTAAATAATCTAAATAATCTAAATAATCTAAATAATCTAAATAATCTAAATAATCTAAATAATCTAAATAATCTAAATAATCTAAATAATCTAAATAATCTAAATAATCTAAATAATCTAAATAATCTAAATAATCTAAATAATCTAAATAATCTAAATAATCTAAATAATCTAAATAATCTAAATAATCTAAATAATCTAAATAATCTAAATAATCTAAATAATCTAAATAATCTAAATAATCTAAATAATCTAAATAATCTAAATAATCTAAATAATCTAAATAATCTAAATAATCTAAATAATCTAAATAATCTAAATAATCTAAATAATCTAAATAATCTAAATAATCTAAATAATCTAAATAATCTAAATAATCTAAATAATCTAAATAATCTAAATAATCTAAATAATCTAAATAATCTAAATAATCTAAATAATCTAAATAATCTAAATAATCTAAATAATCTAAATAATCTAAATAATCTAAATAATCTAAATAATCTAAATAATCTAAATAATCTAAATAATCTAAATAATCTAAATAATCTAAATAATCTAAATAATCTAAATAATCTAAATAATCTAAATAATCTAAATAATCTAAATAATCTAAATAATCTAAATAATCTAAATAATCTAAATAATCTAAATAATCTAAATAATCTAAATAATCTAAATAATCTAAATAATCTAAATAATCTAAATAATCTAAATAATCTAAATAATCTAAATAATCTAAATAATCTAAATAATCTAAATAATCTAAATAATCTAAATAATCTAAATAATCTAAATAATCTAAATAATCTAAATAATCTAAATAATCTAAATAATCTAAATAATCTAAATAATCTAAATAATCTAAATAATCTAAATAATCTAAATAATCTAAATAATCTAAATAATCTAAATAATCTAAATAATCTAAATAATCTAAATAATCTAAATAATCTAAATAATCTAAATAATCTAAATAATCTAAATAATCTAAATAATCTAAATAATCTAAATAATCTAAATAATCTAAATAATCTAAATAATCTAAATAATCTAAATAATCTAAATAATCTAAATAATCTAAATAATCTAAATAATCTAAATAATCTAAATAATCTAAATAATCTAAATAATCTAAATAATCTAAATAATCTAAATAATCTAAATAATCTAAATAATCTAAATAATCTAAATAATCTAAATAATCTAAATAATCTAAATAATCTAAATAATCTAAATAATCTAAATAATCTAAATAATCTAAATAATCTAAATAATCTAAATAATCTAAATAATCTAAATAATCTAAATAATCTAAATAATCTAAATAATCTAAATAATCTAAATAATCTAAATAATCTAAATAATCTAAATAATCTAAATAATCTAAATAATCTAAATAATCTAAATAATCTAAATAATCTAAATAATCTAACTAAACTAAATAAAAGAAATTTAATAAATAGATAAAAAAAAATTAAATTAAGTTTATAAAGTATTTTATTTTTGGAACCGACATTACTGGGACAAAGAGAATCTGCTCTGTAAAAAAAATATATTAAAAAGCTAGCCAAGGTAAAATAAGTTTGTGAATTTTTTTTACTTGTGAGGTTATGTATTAACAAGTGAATATCATAACAAATGGCGCCCAACGTGGGGCACTTAACTGTCAAACTGACAACAAGGAGCGAAATATGTCAAACTGACAACGTGGCGAAATTTGTCAAACTGATCTCCTGGTACTAAAGTTGTTAAACTGACAGTGTGGTAATAAAACGTTAAAGTGTAACAGTGACAAGGGTTATAAAAGTACAGTGTTAATAAATAAATTAAGAAAAATATATATATATATATTATTTAAAATGGCCGAAAAGATGGAATTGAGAGGAGGAAAGAGGATTGGACAGTCAGAAAAAGAAAAGATAAGAGAAGATGAAGGACATGGAGATATAGAAGAACTACAAGTACAAAATATAGAAGAAATTAACAGAGGGAATGAAAATGATGAAACGCAAATGGGAAATGATATAGATGAACATGAAGGAGAAGGGGGAACATGTAATAAAAGAGAAAAAGAAACTACTGCAACTGAAAAGAAAACCGAGGTAACAGAAGAAAGAAGTATGCAAGAAATGTTAAGAGTAATAATGGGACAGATGAATAAAATAGAAGAAATAAAACAAGATTTAAATAAAATGGAAGAAAATAGAAAACAAGACAAAGAAGAAATAAAACAAGTAATAAAACAATACATCAATAAAATGGAAGAAAATAGAAAACAAGACAAAGAAGAAATAAAACAAGACATTAATAAAATGGTTAATAAGATGGATACTATGGAACAGAATTTGATCAAAAGTATAGAAGATAAAGAAGAAATGAAGAAGATAATAGAAGTAATTGGTAAAGAGGACCATAAAAAAGCCAAAACAGTAACAGAGGTAGAAAAGGTGCCAGAAAAAGAAATTAGGAAATTAATAGAGACAGAAGTTGAAGAAGAAATATATCAAATAGAAGAGGATGAAAAATATAAAGAAGATATAATAGAAGTTAAAAATTATATTCAAGATAAACATGTAAGAAAAGAAAAGATGATAGAAGAAATTAAAGAAGTCTTACCAACAGTACCAAATATAGAAAAAGAAATTAAGAATGAAATAGAGTTAACAACAGAAAATATTCTAATAAAATATGTGGAAAATAAAATAGAAAGGATAATATTAGAAAATAAAATGGGAATAAGAATTATTAAAAATAAAAGAAGGAATAAAAATTGCAAAAAGTTTATTGATAAATTATGGAAAAAAGTAAGAAGAAATGGGAACAAAATAAAAATTTTTAATAAAAGGAAAATCAAAAGAATTGTAGGAAGATTGAAAAGAAAAATTAAAAATAGAACTTTATCGGAGAAGGAAAAGACGAGAAACAAATTCAAAGAAAAGCATGATTATTAAAAAAATGGACAAAAAAAAAAAGAACACCTGAACAGGATAAGAAAGGGAAACTAAGATTACGGAACTTGAATAAAATTTTTTTTGTAAATATTTAGAATTATGGGATCAGTAAATAATAAATTGTTGAACTTAGAGGTAATGAATTAGAGAATTTATTAATAGTAAAATAACAATAATTGATGAGTAAATAAATAAAGTAAAAGACAAGAATAATAATAGAAAAGAAATAATGGAAGGAATAAGAAGTTGAAAAATAAATACAGATGTCATTCAAGAAGTATTATTAGTATTAACAAAAAGAGGATTTATCATTTAAAAATTTTAAGCAAGTATAATAATGTAGACATAATAATGAAAAGTTAAAACAAAGAATATGGGAAGGAAATTTGTGTATAAGAAAAATAGTACAATGGAACAAAGACTGGCATGAAATAATTGTGAGAAGAATATGAATAGTTAATGGTTTTATTTTAGGAGAATGTATGAGTTGTATGATAAAATAATAATAAATATAATAAATAATGCGGTATATTGATTTTAATGAATAATGATGAAGTATATTTATGAAAATGATATATGATATATGAAATGGTATATGAATAATAAATAATATAGAAATAATAATTATGTGATGTATGATGAGAAAATGAAAATAAAATAAAAAAATTGAAAGAAGAATTAAAATGGAAGAGTATGGAATATTATGAAATAGAAAAGAAAATGGAATAAGAGCAGTATACACAAAATAAATAAAAAACAATTACATGTCTACAGGAAACGTAACAATACAATAAGAACAGATTATAAGAAGATAAAAAAAAAAAAATTAAAAACTCTGTGAAATGATAAATGAAAAAGTAAATTTAACACAAAATACTAATAATAATATTAATAGACAAAATAACAATAATAACTACAGTAGGAACAGATTTAATAATTATAGTAATAGTAATTATTCTAATAATAACAGTAATGACAACAATGATAACAATAACAACCATAATAATTATAACACGAGAAATTTCAACAATAATAATAGAAATTATTATCTACAAAATAATGATAATAATAATAGAAATACTATAAATTATAAAAATGGGAATAATTTAAAGGTAGTTTTCATATATAAAAAAATTAAATTTTCATTTGCAATTTTACCAAACAATTTGGAAAATTCCAAATGTAAATTTGGGAATTTGTAATGAAAATCAATTATCAAAAATTTAAGATCAAAATTTGGTTAGTCAAATATATATTTTTAGTAAATAAGACATAGAATATTATCATCCTGTACAGCAAATTTAATTTGAGTCAAGATGTCAAATTAAATTGGATAAGTCAGAGATATCCGAGGAGACGAGGAGATTGATAGGAAGTTTGAAAGATATCCTACGGGAATCAGCTTTCGATAGAAAATTTTTTAAATTATCTAAAGTTAGAGCCTCGATGCATTTAAACAGTTTTTCTTTTTGAAAAAGTTGTAATAGTTCAATAACAAAATACTAATATAGACAAGTTGTATCACTTACGTTGTATAGCGAAAGTAAACGGGTGAAATTGTATGTGAATCTGGTAAAAGCAGAATACTGGAACTGGAGACTTAAATTGATAAGAAGGTCTGGATTTGGATATGATATAAGTTCTTGATAGCAGAAAAGACATTTTCCTGTGAGTAATTAGTTTTATAATAGTGTGAAATCATAATAGACAATGTAAATCAATATCACGAATTTAACAAACTATATTTACTTTTGGAAACTGAAGCTAGACCATTGAATAGTAGGATTAATTAAATTATTTAGAATAGTTATTTTTTGAAAATTAAAACGTCAAATTTTTTTTAATTGTCACCTTGAAATTTATAGTTAGATTTCAAATCATAAATATAGAGTTTTAAAGAACTATCTGGTAATAGAAAATATACAGAAAGATTTAAGTTATATGTTATTTTGTTCATAGCAATTATTAGTAAGGGTGTATGGTGATGAATGCATGGTTAGAGTAATTAAGTTAGTAAGTTAGTAGATAGACAATTTTGTGGATGTTCAGAGATTTGAACTTTGTATAATTTATTGATAATACATTCTGAACTTTTGTACATACAATTTGTCTATTTAATAAAAAATAATTTTTTTACAGGGTGATACAAATAACAATAATAACACAATATTATTAATTAATTATTATATAAATTACAGTTAAGGTAGTTTACTGTTGGAATTGTTGTTGCTACTATTTAATAAATAAACTAAATAAACTAAATAAACTAAATAAACTAAATAAACTAAATAAACTAAATAAACTAAATAAACTAAATAAACTAAATAATCTAAATAATCTAAATAATCTAAATAATCTAAATAATCTAAATAATCTAAATAATCTAAATAATCTAAATAATCTAAATAATCTAAATAATCTAAATAATCTAAATAATCTAAATAATCTAAATAATCTAAATAATCTAAATAATCTAAATAATCTAAATAATCTAAATAATCTAAATAATCTAAATAATCTAAATAATCTAAATAATCTAAATAATCTAAATAATCTAAATAATCTAAATAATCTAAATAATCTAAATAATCTAAATAATCTAAATAATCTAAATAATCTAAATAATCTAAATAATCTAAATAATCTAAATAATCTAAATAATCTAAATAATCTAAATAATCTAAATAATCTAAATAATCTAAATAATCTAAATAATCTAAATAATCTAAATAATCTAAATAATCTAAATAATCTAAATAATCTAAATAATCTAAATAATCTAAATAATCTAAATAATCTAAATAATCTAAATAATCTAAATAATCTAAATAATCTAAATAATCTAAATAATCTAAATAATCTAAATAATCTAAATAATCTAAATAATCTAAATAATCTAAATAATCTAAATAATCTAAATAATCTAAATAATCTAAATAATCTAAATAATCTAAATAATCTAAATAATCTAAATAATCTAAATAATCTAAATAATCTAAATAATCTAAATAATCTAAATAATCTAAATAATCTAAATAATCTAAATAATCTAAATAATCTAAATAATCTAAATAATCTAAATAATCTAAATAATCTAAATAATCTAAATAATCTAAATAATCTAAATAATCTAAATAATCTAAATAATCTAAATAATCTAAATAATCTAAATAATCTAAATAATCTAAATAATCTAAATAATCTAAATAATCTAAATAATCTAAATAATCTAAATAATCTAAATAATCTAAATAATCTAAATAATCTAAATAATCTAAATAATCTAAATAATCTAAATAATCTAAATAATCTAAATAATCTAAATAATCTAAATAATCTAAATAATCTAAATAATCTAAATAATCTAAATAATCTAAATAATCTAAATAATCTAAATAATCTAAATAATCTAAATAATCTAAATAATCTAAATAATCTAAATAATCTAAATAATCTAAATAATCTAAATAATCTAAATAATCTAAATAATCTAAATAATCTAAATAATCTAAATAATCTAAATAATCTAAATAATCTAAATAATCTAAATAATCTAAATAATCTAAATAATCTAAATAATCTAAATAATCTAAATAATCTAAATAATCTAAATAATCTAAATAATCTAAATAATCTAAATAATCTAAATAATCTAAATAATCTAAATAATCTAAATAATCTAAATAATCTAAATAATCTAAATAATCTAAATAATCTAAATAATCTAAATAATCTAAATAATCTAAATAATCTAAATAATCTAAATAATCTAAATAATCTAAATAATCTAAATAATCTAAATAATCTAAATAATCTAAATAATCTAAATAATCTAAATAATCTAAATAATCTAAATAATCTAAATAATCTAAATAATCTAAATAATCTAAATAATCTAAATAATCTAAATAATCTAAATAATCTAAATAATCTAAATAATCTAAATAATCTAAATAATCTAAATAATCTAAATAATCTAAATAATCTAAATAATCTAAATAATCTAAATAATCTAAATAATCTAAATAATCTAAATAATCTAAATAATCTAAATAATCTAAATAATCTAAATAATCTAAATAATCTAAATAATCTAAATAATCTAAATAATCTAAATAATCTAAATAATCTAAATAATCTAAATAATCTAAATAATCTAAATAATCTAAATAATCTAAATAATCTAAATAATCTAAATAATCTAAATAATCTAAATAATCTAAATAATCTAAATAATCTAAATAATCTAAATAATCTAAATAATCTAAATAATCTAAATAATCTAAATAATCTAAATAATCTAAATAATCTAAATAATCTAAATAATCTAAATAATCTAAATAATCTAAATAATCTAAATAATCTAAATAATCTAAATAATCTAAATAATCTAAATAATCTAAATAATCTAAATAATCTAAATAATCTAAATAATCTAAATAATCTAAATAATCTAAATAATCTAAATAATCTAAATAATCTAAATAATCTAAATAATCTAAATAATCTAAATAATCTAAATAATCTAAATAATCTAAATAATCTAAATAATCTAAATAATCTAAATAATCTAAATAATCTAAATAATCTAAATAATCTAAATAATCTAAATAATCTAAATAATCTAAATAATCTAAATAATCTAAATAATCTAAATAATCTAAATAATCTAAATAATCTAAATAATCTAAATAATCTAAATAATCTAAATAATCTAAATAATCTAAATAATCTAAATAATCTAAATAATCTAAATAATCTAAATAATCTAAATAATCTAAATAATCTAAATAATCTAAATAATCTAAATAATCTAAATAATCTAAATAATCTAAATAATCTAACTAAACTAAATAAAAGAAATTTAATAAATAGATAAAAAAAAATTAAATTAAGTTTATAAAGTATTTTATTTTTGGAACCGACATTACTGGGACAAAGAGAATCTGCTCTGTAAAAAAAATATATTAAAAAGCTAGCCAAGGTAAAATAAGTTTGTGAATTTTTTTTACTTGTGAGGTTATGTATTAACAAGTGAATATCATAACAATATGTTAGTTTTAATAAAAGTATATGGATTTATAAAACAAATAAAACATTAATTTATTATTATTATATATTTTTCACGCTTAAATTGAAGAAAATTATGTATAATCATTAAAAATCAATAATAAAATATAGGCAGGCAACAGTATTTACTGGAAAATGTATGAGAAGTTGCCTAAGTCTAATAAGTTGTCATTGAAGAAACCATTTATAATAGCGTGAAGTTAAAATGTATAAAAAGGATCGCTACTTATATTTTCATTTTTGTTCTAAAGAAAACATAGAATGAATGATTAAAACTGGTTTCCGATCAGTAAGTCACAAAATTGCATACCAGCCAAATATTATAATCAACGGCAGAAATCTTGAAATCTAGTCCTTGCTGAATGAACATTTAAGAATAAAGGGATATTAAAGAACATCGTAAAATGATAATTTATTGTTTATTTAAAAACTTTCTAGTTTCTGATGTCTACTATTTTCAGCATTACTGTTATTATCACAAAAATAAAGGTAATTTTTCTTCTTATTGTACACCTATCCATTTATTTCTTTGATTTAATTTCCACTTTGTTAGTGAAATTTGTTATATAAGTTTCACTGTTTTTTTTGCTAGTATTCGTACAATTTTCAACACAGCAACTCCGGTTGCTTATTGTGTTGTTTTTACCTACTTTTTTGAAAAAAAGTAAAATGTATACGTGTATTTGATATGTCAAAATTACAAAATATCCCCCTAAAATGCACGAATTATCCGCAGCTAGCGCTAGTATCGCTTTTGCTTCCCTTTCCATGACTTCGCACGGAGCGAATACTGCGTGTGATTCCTGGATGACTAGTCATCCTGCTGCAACTATGACTATTTATGATATACTTAGTATTGTTCATACAGCACTACCCTTAGCGGCAACGCCAAACAACATTACAGCTGGATTTAAGGTTTCTGGCATTTATCCTTTAAATAGAGATATTTTCCCGGACAGTGAATTCATGGCTGACTATGTTACCGGTAGACCAGGTCCTAAACAAGCTTTTCAAGATATTGCGGAAAATCCAAATCCAGTAACAGAAAATCAACCTGAACCCGTCCAAATAAATATTGTGAAAAATTCCTTGCCAGAGCAAGAAACAAACTCCAATGTAGATGTACAACAACCTGGGCCTAGCCGAATCACAGAAAGTAGGGCATCTACCAAAAACTTTTCAAATGATTTCTTATCTAACAAACCTGAGTATACTCAGCAATCTGGAAATCTTGCCTTGACAGGTCAAGAGACTAACTTCAATGTAGATGTACAACAACCTGGGCCTAGCAGAATTACAGGAAGTAGGACACCTACCAAAAATTTTTAAATGTCTCCAACGAGCTCAAGTGTCCGTAACCACCTGAAAAGCTTTTAGTAAATAATACTTTTAATCTTGAAGCAGAATGTAGTTCTACAGATCTCGAAATTTTAAAGCCGTTTCCAAAAGCAGCTGAAAGAAAACTGCAACAAAAAGGTCGTAAAAAAAAGGAAATTTAAAATTTTAACAGACACGCCTGTTAAGGACGAATTGGAAGAAGATAAAAGGGCAAAAGAAAATAAAACGAATTCAATAAAAATGCAAACAGAAAAAGAACTCGAAGAAACAAGCAAATAAGAAAAATAATAAAATGGTTAAAGAAGATTCAAGCAGTGACGAAGACACCTTTTGCTTAATTTGCGTTGAACCATGGTCAAATCAAATAGTTTGCCAAGAGAGAAATGAATCCAGTGCACCCAATGCAAATCTTGGGCACATGAAAAATGTGCAGACACAAGTTTGTTCTATGTCATAACTGTGATTCGGATGGATCTAACTAGATTACATACCTATCCAAATCACTCCTAACGATTTTTGTGTTGTAAACTTTTATCAGACAGATTCATACCGAAGACAATAAATCTATGAATAAGTTACCTTAGTTTCTTCTTTGATCAACAAACTCCTAGATATGTACCAATCAACCTCTAGATATGTACCAACCTTCCCCGGATTCGGCGTGCTTGGTACACTTGCAAAAGATTCTGAGTTTAAGTTATGTCTTAACATGGCCTAATTTGAGAATTGGGTAAACAAAACATCAATAATCAAAACACTCAAGGTCTTTTTGCTCTGCTTATTAACCAAAACATTGAAGAAGCTTGATGTGGAAAATGTACCAACCAACCCCGGTCTTCCCTACCTATTTCTGAGGTTTGTGATTTCTAATAATTGAAATCTTTTTTTTATCTTATCATGTATCAGTTCGATTCTTTTAATTCCAGAGTTTTGTCGGAACAAAAAGGGCGATTTAACTCGAACTCGGTAAAGTTTTCCAGACATTTTCGTGTTTATCCAACGCTTAAGGAACGTGGCGATGCGCTTCAAAAGTGCCAAAACTTTTTTTCTACAAAGGATTTTGTCGCGAGCATTCAATTTAATTGAATCAAAGTCTCTAAGCTCCAACTTTCTTGTTGGGGTCGTAGATTTGGCATTGGGAAGTGGAGAAGTTTCTCGACAGAAGAGCGTCGAAACACATGGGAGCGACGTAATTATGAAATATCGCGGAAAAAGGGTTGAGTGCCTACTTCTGAATGAAAAAAGAGTTTTCAGCGGTATGCTAATTGTGGGATATATTTTATAAAGGTCAGACCGAATGCGGTGTACGAAAAGAGAAATGGAAAATTATTTTTTAAGGTGAACATTAATTTTAAATCTCACAGTCTCCGCGTTTCTGTCAAATAATATAAATAATGTTCTAAAAGTTTTGGCACAAAATATTTATCGTTTTTTTTTTTAATGTACAACTTCATTGAAACATTAACTAACCTAACCTAACAACCTGTTTTTGTTTTGCCTACACGCAGCTATTTTACTATTAATAGTCGTTAAATCAGAATATTTAAATTATTCCATTTTACTTTTATATTTATCTAATAGGGAGTCGATTAGAAGATAGTAGGAAATATTGTTTCTTTTTTTCTGGTGTTCTCTGATTTTACTTTTACTATCTGCTTTTAAATAAATATTTTTGATTTGCTATTTTCGGTAATTATGACTGTTATAAATTGTTTACGCATCAGTTAAGTTAATAGTTTAATGTATTTATATTTGACTATCTTTCAGGTTAATATAATTTTTAAATTACTTTTTTTGCAAATATATCGCGAATAGATAAAATGTACACATGAGATTCGAAGCAAAATCGGCAGTACCGGTGTTAATGAAATACGCGATACATGTTTGAGTACCATCACCATTTTAGTTGCTAATAGTTTATCATAATTTGTTGGTTAATATTAATAACCGTACCGCATTCCTTATTTAATCCCAATTTTACCCAAACCCTTTCATCCTTTATATGTCGGTGAATGAATTTCAACAAAGGAATTGTTCCAAAATAAAGAATTTTGAAACATACAGAAGACGGTCCTGTGCTCACAAAAGCCAGGTTTTAATTTATAACGGCCATTTGCAGGCGGACGTGACAAAAGCCATGTTTGCAGGCGGACGTGACAAAAACCATGTATCCCATGTACAGTTCATCAAATTTCTAGAGGTGTTCGACGCTTAGACAGAAAAGGCGCTACGTGTGACTAAGATAGCTATTGTCAGTCTGCTAAACAAGTTATTTTAAATAGTTTTTAAAATTTTTAGGTAATTAAATTTTAAAAGTGTGGAATAGTTTAGGGATTAAATTGGTCTGATTGGACTTTCTTAGAACGTTTTTAAAAGCAGCTAAAGATAGTATGTAGAATTGAAAATAATTATTATGCCATAAAAGGTGTTTTGGAATTCCTTCAACCTTTTGAAATTGAGTCAGAAAATATAAATTTTATAGGATAGCGGAAAATACCTATAATTTTTTTGTAGGCCTTTGTAAATCGTGGAAATAGTTTATATTTTATTTCTACCTTATTAAGGAAAATGGTACCTATTATTAATAACGGTTGTTTCTGAAACATTACTAAAATTTTCGAAATTTTGTTTTTCTACAAAATAATAAACTATACTATTTAGAAAAAAATGTATTTCTCTTATAATTTTATAAAAAATAACAGGGGAATATTTACATTTCTTGATCTATTAAACAAAACGATAAATTATCTCGACGAATGACACCATGTTCTAGTACGGAAGCTAGCTTTACATTTTTGTTGGTAGTTTCATGGGTTTCATATCAATTTTTTGTAATTGTAGTTTACACGTACATATACCTCTTAACACTTGTTTGCTTTATTAAAAAAGTGTGTTGTTGTGATTTACGTCGAAATAAGTCAAAAACAACTTGAAACCCCATATAAAATCAAAAAGGAGAAACGGAAAAAAATTGAGCCTGTAAATGAACACAACTCAGAAACAAAAATAGCTATCTAATAATAAAAAAATAAAATTTGATTCTTGTGCAGCTTCATCTATATCATTAACTGTTTTTGGTTTTTTAATGGTTTTTCTTGGTGATGAAAATTCCGATATCTCACGGTTATCGATTCTTTTTTTCTCTCCAGAAATGCGGACGACAGTGTTTTTAGATACTCCTGTGGCTGCAGCAGCACGATCATTTACATTTTTAAATGGTATTGAAGGTGAATTAAAGTTTCCTTCTCTTCTCATAAACTCTATAACATTGGCTATTATTTCGCGAGAATGACTGTTAATCACGCGGCCTCTTAATTTGCTATTAAACTCCATACTTAGGTTCTATTAAATTGTAATGAGCAAAAAACACAAACGAAAATAAAAGAAATGTTTTAGCGAAATTTACATCTGACATTTACGTCTGAATGAAATAGTGAAATACTTGATGCGCAGAGTGTACTTTTATTGCGTAAATCCGTCGGGATGCCTGTCAGTAGTGCTTTCTCTGTCTAGCCGTCGAAAGCCTCTAGAAATTTGATGAACTGTATCTCGCGCAAAGAACTGGTCGAAGTGACGTAATCATATGTCCATCTCTTTCATAAAAAAAATAAAATGCGGGCAGAGCGATTCGAGCTTCCTAACATTAAGGATCGTCTCTCCCATACACATAATGAAAAATTCTTTGAGTAACGATGTTGTAAAGTCCTAGTACTTATGTAAGCAGTAGTTAGTAGTAAAAAACAAATGTAAACATGTACAAAGTATACGGCAGCGTTTTGTGCACAATAAAGTGTTCTTTTAAGAAATTGTTGAGCTTTATTCCACATGGAGCTTCAGGATACAGTCCATTTTGGTAAGCGTGCCTTAGGGTTGTATTTAATATTTATGGGGATTCAACTCATGGAAATCCTTCAGGAATAGTTTAGCAAGTCAAGGTGAGTTTTTCTTATTTTTTGATAGTAATACAGTCTGCTTTTTTTGTTTAATCGTAAAATTCGCAACATAAACTCTTTAATTAGTCTAGTGTTAAAATATAGATTCCTTTAAAAGTGTATTAATATAATAATTGTATTTAATTAAACATTTTAGATTTTAAAATTTGTCATATCAATGCGGCACCCTTAAATTTTGTTGATTACATATCCGATAAAAATTTAATTTAATATAAGGTACTTAACACGGATAACCGACTTCAAAAAAGGAGGAGGTTCTCAATTCGTCGCGATATTTTTTTTTATGTATGTTTTAACGATAATGCTTTACCACCTTGTCCAATTTATATGATTTTTTTTTGTTAGTAAGGGGTACCTCAGGGGTGGTCCCATATAAATTTGGCACGTTTTTGAAGTCGATTTTTTTAAATTTTTAATTTCTAATACTTGTTCTGTATATTGTATATATACTATATATCATACATTGACGGACTCTTTGAGTAAACCTTAACATAAAAAAAAAACGTTTTTGAAGTCTTACCTCTCTGCACAGACATCCTTTTGATGCTATCTTATAGTATGATTCTGTTCACTTTCACCATCGGGTGTCATCATTTCAACGACTGTTTGTTCTGGTTCCGGATCTGATCGTTCTTCAACAACAGTATCCAATTCTAACGATGGAAATCCTCTGCTCATACCTCTTTCTGATCGAAGCGAAATCGCTCTGGACGATCGTCCTGTCATAACAATAGAAATATTTCAATTAAATATTTTGTCCACGACCACTTAATAATAAATCAATATTCTACCTCCTAACTAAAAGCATATAGTACCCCATATATCACGGAGTGAATTATGATAATTCACGCTTTTGTAAATCTGGCACATTCCGGTAGATAACTAAAGATAGGCGATACTTTTCATAACGATATTTTCTAGATCGAAAAATCAGAAAATCGAAAATCGAAAATCGAAAATCGAAAATCGAAAATCGAAAATCGAAAATCGAAAATCGAAAATCGAAAATCGAAAATCGAAAATCGAAAATCGAAAATCGAAAATCGAAAATCGAAAATCGAAAATCGAAAATCGAAAATCGAAAATCGAAAATCGAAAATCGAAAATCGAAAATCGAAAATCGAAAATCGAAAATCGAAAATCGAAAATCGAAAATCGAAAATCGAAAATCGAAAATCGAAAATCGAAAATCGAAAATCGAAAATCGAAAATCGAAAATCGAAAATCGAAAATCGAAAATCGAAAATCGAAAATCGAAAATCGAAAATCGAAAATCGAAAATCGAAAATCGAAAATCGAAAATCGAAAATCGAAAATCGAAAATCGAAAATCGAAAATCGAAAATCGAAAATCGAAAATCGAAAATCGAAAATCGAAAATCGAAAATCGAAAATCGAAAATCGAAAATCGAAAATCGAAAATCGAAAATCGAAAATCGAAAATCGAAAATCGAAAATCGAAAATCGAAAATCGAAAATCGAAAATCGAAAATCGAAAATCGAAAATCGAAAATCGAAAATCGAAAATCGAAAATCGAAAATCGAAAATCGAAAATCGAAAATCGAAAATCGAAAATCGAAAATCGAAAATCGAAAATCGAAAATCGAAAATCGAAAATCGAAAATCGAAAATCGAAAATCGAAAATCGAAAATCGAAAATCGAAAATCGAAAATCGAAAATCGAAAATCGAAAATCGAAAATCGAAAATCGAAAATCGAAAATCGAAAATCGAAAATCGAAAATCGAAAATCGAAAATCGAAAATCGAAAATCGAAAATCGAAAATCGAAAATCGAAAATCGAAAATCGAAAATCGAAAATCGAAAATCGAAAATCGAAAATCGAAAATCGAAAATCGAAAATCGAAAATCGAAAATCGAAAATCGAAAATCGAAAATCGAAAATCGAAAATCGAAAATCGAAAATCGAAAATCGAAAATCGAAAATCGAAAATCGAAAATCGAAAATCGAAAATCGAAAATCGAAAATCGAAAATCGAAAATCGAAAATCGAAAATCGAAAATCGAAAATCGAAAATCGAAAATCGAAAATCGAAAATCGGCTCGGGACGCAAACGTCACCCTGCGTGAATAATGGCTACCATAAATTGCTCGTTTAATAATATACTATTATCTACAATTTCAAAAAAAAAAAATACATTCATTATAAACTGTTTCTTTTATAAATAATATTGATTAGCAGTTTGTGACCAATCTATTAATTATAATTTTAACGCAGGAATCCTCCAAAAGGATAGGGTCATATTATTTTAGGATATTATACCAGTGGCGGCTCGTGGGTTTGAATGTAGGTAACGCCTTGAAAATAAAACACGAAAAATTCAACATTTTTATTTTTTGTACATAAGGTCGATTCTCACGTCCTTTAAACTTGCAAAATTATCATCAATCATATAAGAGTGTCTTTTCAATTGAAATTTTTGCTAAATTGGTTATTGTATTTCGTAGATATGTTTTAATTCGTTTTAAACAAGAAAAACTACGTTCGACCAAAACACTAGTGGATGGAATAGTTAAGATTAAGCAATATAACTTATAAGCTTCATGACTGGAAATAAACTGTAAAACATTTTTTAATCTTTGTAAGTCATTTAATTTACTAGGATACATTTGAACTAAATTGTTTAGTGCTTCTGTAGGAAAGCTCTCCGAATATACAGAAAATTTGGAAGTGTCCATTAATGTTACGAACTGAAGCTTATCAGTATCCTGAAAGCGAGTGTTGATTTGTTTTAAAATTGTGTCCAGGATTAGATAATACAGAATTTTATATTTTTGAACTACTTGACCTCTTGTCAAGACTTGTCTTATGCGCCCATCACTTCAAATACAATAGCCATTTTAATTTCTCTGAGTTTGAAGTTTTGACGAGCTGACAACTGACATGACATTTCGATACGAGCGCCATCCCGTTAATTGGAGTGGTACTAAATTACCAACCTCATGTTTTTCCATTTGAGTTACCAGCCCCTGCATATAGTATAAAAGACAAACATTTACTATTCGCGATTCAAGCTAAGTGATACGCCTTTTAGAAAAAATTTGTATAAGTAGGATATTGTTCAGTGTTGCCAGGAGCAGTGAAATTTCGTTACGCCGTCGGATTTTTTGCCCTTGAAAAGTGGACCTTTTTTTAAGTAGCAAAATTTGTGTCTAGTAATATGTATTTATTTATTTAAGGATTTTTTTTATAAAACCGATTTATTATATTGATTTTTTTTATATTTCAGTTCATTTATTAATTTTGTTTTAAAAATAGTATATCATTTGGCAACATTGGCGTTCGTGTTCACTGTTTATATTTTAATTTGTATCAATTATAATTCCAAAATTTTCTTACCTGAGCTTTAAATTTGTTTATTTCTTATAGTGTGTGATAGTATTTATATTAAAAATGAAAATTGGGAAAACGCCCCCAACAAATTGCAATCTGTATGGTGTTAATGTCAAAATCAAAACCGAAATGTTCATTATTTTCCAAGTGTAAGTCGTAAAATTTTGTTTCTTACGATAAATGGATATCTACAAATTCACATTATTGAGATTTTGCAAAATTTTGTTTAGAATCAAACTGCAATCGGATTTGTGACGGTTTTGTTACCATTTACATGTATACAAAGTACTACACAATCCACTTCATAATATAAGAATAAGGATTGTAAGATTTTTAAATAAGTTCATTAATAATAAACGTTTTGTACCTGCAATGTCCTTTAAACCACATAATAAATCATGTCCTGGGTTTAGTAAATAAATATTTCTAGATGTTTGTGAAGCAACCAATAGGTAAATATTTCTAACAAATTAACTTATACACATTATAAACATTAAGGGAGAGTGGGGAATTGTGTGCACTTAGGCGAAAATCATTATAGCACTGATAGCATTGTAGAAGATTTAAATGTAAATACCGTAATAAGGGTGCTCTTTGGTCTACTCTCAGCACGTTAATTAATTTTAGAAAAAAATAAAATATTTAAAGTACAATACTGCTGAAATTACAAAAGTGCTCTTGCGCACCATTCCCTGCCGTTGCGGGTAATGGTGCGCAAGCGTTGGGAAATCGTGCGCATTAAAAGTATTAAGTATAAGATAAAACTAACACTAACTTAAAAAAAATTATTGAAGTTGTGGAATATAAAAAAAAGGATAGGTCCCATTTATAATTTTTCGGGGTATCTGAGCCAGTACATTTGGCATAGTTCCAAGTTGAGCAAAGGACACATCTGTACCAAAATTCTCGTTGTTTGCTAAATTCACTGCAAATATCACAAACTTCGGTTAATTTCCCTGGCTGATTTAAAGGTGGCGGTACGAAGCTCAGCCCAACATCATCTTCAATATCATCCAGCTCATCGTCGTCACAAATATCCGACACATCATCTTTTGATGAATCAGATGATTCAGGCGTTGGCGGTCTCTTTTGTTTGCTTTTAAATTTCTTTGAAGACGACGAAATAGATAATTCACCGTTCAAACATTTACGAATAACTCCTTTACTATTCTTATCTTTCAGTTTTTCTTTGGTTTTAATTGCTTTTTTCTCTTCAGCTTCTTCTAGTTTTGTTTTGATGGTAGTGCTCGTAAGAATTTACGATTTCTGTTTGTTCCTAGATTTTGTTTTCGTTGCCTGGTTAACTTTTGTATTTGGTATTGGAGCCATAGCAAAGAAAGAATTATCATAAGACGTAGATACCTAAGGGCTCTGATCTCTTTGATGTTGTAAATCTGGGTGATTATCTGGAAGAATTGCTGCACCATCTTGACTGGATAAAGTTTTAAGTTCAAGTGTTGCTTCTACTTTAAGTTTGCCTACATGGTGGCTAGGTTCAAAATCAGCATCGATAAATTTGTCGGGATCCAATGGAGATATTTCAAATCTCCGAAACCCTGAAACTGCTTTTTCCATTGTAGCCACTTTGTTTAAAAGTTCGGCTACATCTTATTCAGTTATTTTTTGATGACCGGTACTTGACAAGTAAAGATCATATTCCTTAAGTAGTGCTCTTTTCAGAAGGCTAAAAAATGTTAAATCCAGAAGCTGAAGGTGATCAGATGTGTATGGAGGAAGCGAGACCATGTGGGTGTTATTTTCTTTGCAGAAATTATAAGCTGCAATTGAATTGTGGCTGGAATAGTTATCCAGGACCAAAAGGACAGGATCAGTAACAGTAGACTTAGCATGCATCTGAAGGTGACCCAGCCACTGAAGAAAAAGTCCGGAATTGATCCAACCGTTCTTAGAACATTTGTACAACGCCCCAATTGGTCCATTTTTCTCGAGAGTTTTGGGCATCCTTTTCCTATTATATATTATCATGCTTCTACTGCTCCTAGAGCTCCTACTTTTTTAGATCCCTTACGACCATAAACTTTAGAGCATTTCTTCTGCACCGTGGTGATACCTGTCTCACTGTATCATCTAGGTTATAAACACTTTTGGGTTCAAACTTAAACCTTTAAAGGTTTAAAAAAATATATTTTGGTTGAGTCCTTATCAAAAGATGCAATTCTATTCAAAGTGGTTCCTTCAGGCTGCCGTAGCTTTATATCAGGTGATCTTCTTAAAAATACATACAGCCAGTTCTTCCCAGCTAATCTCTTTTCCTTGTCGAATTTATGGGCAATATCATGTTGCTCAGCATATCTAAGAGCTAGTCGCCTAAGACACCTGGGCGTTAGGCCATAATAGCTTTGATAGCGTACTCTTTTAACTCAGATTCTATTTCCTCTGAAAACACAGGCTTGCATCCCAAACGGCTTCGGCTCATTTTCTGACAGTTTTTTTTGAGTGTCGATTTCTGTCATCATTTCTTATCGTAAATAATGCGTTTTGTAAATTTTCGCATCATTACCCCTTTAGACATTAAATGACAATCTGTAATACAGTTAGCAAACTACATAACCTAATAATGTAAAACAAGCATCAATAGATGCAAAAGATCATACTTTTCCATAAAATAAGTATATCTTACCGATTAAGGAAAAAGTCTTATTTTCCGATGTCAAAAAATTACAGAAACTGGCTGGATTTCAAATAAACAGAGCTCTTTCCGTGCAAACGTAAACAACTGATGTGAGTAATGGCGTCAGTGATGCACAGTAGAAAGGAGAGAGCTCAGCACGAGTCGGTGGCGCTTAAAAGCCCGAGAAATATGAAATAGTTTAATGAGCACGATTACCCAACGCACACGATTCCTCCACTCTCCCTTATATTTAAGCACGAAAACTAAACTTAAATTAACACTAAATGAAACTCAAAAACACTATTATAATGAGAATATCTAAAAACAGTTATAATACAAAATCCCGCCCAAAACAAACACATATAAATAAACAAACATCCTACTTATAGGTGACAAATGACAGGCGCGTGAAAATTAATTTAAATCGCGAATGAAACACAAGTATCACGAGTAGGTTATTTCCTAGACTATAATAATATTTTTCACGACGTATTATCATGATTATTTTAATTATTGCCTACAAATTAAACAAACTAGTTTCATTAATACAATTTCCATTTTTTACTATTTATCAGTAAGAATTGTTGTATAACTAGAATAAGATGATTATAAGAATTGGTTATTTAAATAATTTAGTTGGAACTACTTTAGCATGTAAGTAAATAATTAATAATTTGGAATGTTTCTACATTCTTTGATTAGATTTTTATGAATCACTAAACACGAATTTTCAAAAAGTTCGAGCCTTCATTTTCCTCTAGTTTCTTTTATTTTCAATGCATTTATTCTTTATTCATTTCCGCGAATATACAAATTTTGTAGAGTGTCAACATATTTGTTACTTCTAATCTGAGAAAACACCATTATTTACTCCACTTCTTTAATGAAAATTGATAATTTTCTTCCTAGGAAAATAAAAAAAAAACACCTGAGTAAAAGTTCATATAAAAATGTTCATTGAACGGATCAATGGCGTAGGTGTCTAAGGCGCTCGCATTTATTTGCGGGCTATTTTGTAGTTGAGAGACACTTGGCTTTGAATCCTACAGAAGACCATATATAGCAGCGTTTCTCAACCTTTTTTGGCCCGCGGACAAGTAGATTTATTAAAAAAAAATTGCGGACCAGTGATATTTTCTTAACAACAAATTTTTACTAAGTAAGTTAGTTGTAACATTTTTATTATCATTTGCCTACAGTAATATTTTAATGTAAAGATATATAATTATACATACATATAATAATAAGTAAGTATACAAACCTTTAACAAAAATGACAGAAAATTATAAAAAAATCACAAACTCATGGATGTAGAAACACAACAAAAATATCAATCTTACGACTACCAAAAAATTAAATCAATGGGAACAAACTCTTAAGAAAAATTAGAACAAAAAATCAGAAATTATAAAAATAATCAGAAACTCATTGCATATGAACATATTGTTAATGAGAAGATTGCTTCTTCAATCAACTTGTCAATTGTTGGTTCCAAATTAGACAAGCTAAGTCGGAGCGTGAAATAACCAAAAGCCGATTTCTAAATTTATTTTTTATTACCGTCATAGATGAAAATCCCGATTCACATAAATATGTAGTTGTGAAGGGGACTAATATTTTCATTGCTTTCTCGTATAGAGATGGATATTCATTTTTCAATTTGATCCAAAATTTATCTATGGACATTGTTGAACAACTAGCTTTTAACCTAATATCTGCACTAACAGTGGCGGTTCGTGGGCACTAGCGGCAGTGGGGCACACACTGGAAAGGAATCCCGGTATTCGTTTTTCCCTTAAGAAAACAAGTTCTCCGCTTAATGACAATTAAATATACAGGGTGTCCCAAATTGTTTTACCCATGCTGTAACTTCTAAACCATGCAAGATAATTGAACCGGACAAAAGTCATCCATTATAGTAAGCGGTGTACTTTAAAACAAATAAAAATTTGATGACCCACCCTCAAAAGCTGCCCCCTGGAACAACCCCCTCAAATATTATTAACAACACCCTAATTTTTTTTTGCTCATTTTTGTAGTCGCTACTTTTCTCCGTACAACTGTTTTTAAAATTTTGAAATCGCTCCATAAATAACTGAGATTCGTTTTTTTTTTCATTTTCATCAAGTTGCTTGCTGTCAAATTCATGGTAAGTTTTTTAGCGCATTATAAACAATACTATATCAATCTGTCTCTTGTCAAACAGAAGTGCACTCGATAAAGTTAGTAGTTTTTACTTAATAAAGTTTGCAATAATTTAGAGTTTGTCAAGTCCTAACAAATTATTTCAAAATGCCTAATCTGTTTAGTTCCAACGAGTACACCGATATGATAATTATTTACGGCGAATGTCGCAAGAATTCAAGACAAGCTAGACAATTATACTATGAACGTTTTCCGAATAGAACAATTCCCTCAGTTAGAACGTTTTCCAATTTAGAAAGAAGTCTTAGGCAAGGACATTTTCCTGACGGTAAACATCATGGAGGACACAACAGAATGATCAGAAATGAAGAAAATGTTATACACGTTTTGGCTTACGTTCATATAAATCCACATGTTTCTATCAGAGATTTGGCACTCGAAATTGGAATAAGCAAAAGTAGCATCCAAAGAATATTAAAAGACAATAAATATCATCCTTATAAAATACACTTGGTCCAAGGTTTACTCCCTAATGATCTTGAAAGACGCCTAGACTGTCTCTCTAGAATGCAGGTGAAACTAAATGACGATGCCACATTCTTAGATAAAATATTATGGAGCGACGAATCACGTTTCCATAATAATGGTGTATTAAATCGTCATAATTCCAATTACTGGCCCCCAACAAATCCCCACTGGGCAAGAGAAACACGGTTTCAAAAGATTTCGGGCATAAACGTATGGTGTGGTTTGTTCAATGGTAGGATTATAGGTCCTCATTTTTATGAAAACAGGATATCGTGATTTTTTAATCAATACCGTTCTTGAGTTGTTGGAAGGTGTTCCTCTTAATCAAAGACGTGATATGTGGTGGCAGCAAGATGGTGCACCAGCTCATAATGCACAAATTGTGAGCCAATATTTGGCAAACACTTATGAAAACCGTGTTACATCCACGCATTCTCCAATTATCCAGTGGCCGGCTAGGTCACCTGATTTGTCGCCTATAGATTTTTTTTTCAGGGGTACTATAAAGGACGTAGTATACGAAACAAAACCAGAGGACTTAGAAGATTTAAAAAATAGAATCAGACATGCTTGTAACAGATTTACACCGGCCATGAATCGAGCTGCCTGTACTAGAAATTTATTGTTATGGTTTGACAAATGTGTGGAAGTGGGAAGTGGGCAATTTGAGCACTTATTATAAGTTATTACTACTCTTTGTTTGTTGATATTTATTTCTTGTCTTCTCCTTCTCTTGTTTCAATGTATTTTTTATTTATGTGTCACCTAATAAAGTATTTTTTATCATCAACTTGACATAGAGTTTTATTTAATTTCTCACTTATTTATGGAGCGATTTTAAAAAATTAAAAACAGTTGTACAGAGAAAAGTAGCGACTACAAAAATGAGCAGAAAAAAAATTAGGGTGTCGTTAATAATTTTTGAGGGGGTTGTTCCAGGGGGGTAGTTTTTGAGGGTGGGTCGTCAAATTTTAATTTATTTTAAAGTACACCGCCAATTATAATAGATGACTTTTGTCCGGTTCGATTATCTTGCATGGTTTAGAAGTTATAGCCTGGGTAAAACAATTTGGGACACCCTGTAATTCAAAACAATCAGTTGGGGCAATAACGATTTCTGAATGTGACTACAGAGAGCTAAATGTGACCACTCAAAATGCATTTAACTATGTATGTGGCTATTTAATCAAAAAATCATTACATATCCACTCTTGCGAAATTTACGTAAATTTCTCAGAAGAATGCAAATATAAATTTAGTTTTAGGTTAGTTTCTATAGGAACGGCAGGGGTACAAAATCTGAACTTTTATATTTTAGTGGTACAAATTATACTACTTTCATTGCAGGAGTAACTATTGATTCTGCTCGTGCAAAAGGGTACTTTACTCTTGAGCCTAATATGAGTTTAGGTTAGTTTCTATAGGAACGGCAGGGGTACAAAATCTGAAAATTTATATTTTAGTGGTACAAATTATGTTACTTTCATTGCAGGAGTAACTAATGATTCTGCTCGTGCAAGAGGGTACTTTACTCTTGAGCCTTATATGAGTTTTGATTAGTTTCTATAGGAACGGCAGGGGTACAAAATCTGAAAATTTATATTTTAGCGGTACAAATTATGCTACTTTCATTGCAGAAGTAACTATTGATTCTGCTCGTTCAAAAGGGTACTTTACTCTTGAGACTAATCTGAGTTTAGGTTAGTTTCTATAGGAACGGCAGGGGTACAGAATCTAACAATTTACATTTTAGCAGTACAAATTATGGTACCTTTATTGCAGAAATAACGATTGATTTTGCTGTTTAAAAGAAATATGAATTTAGGATAGTTTCTATAGGAACGGCAGGGGTGCATATTCTGAAAATTTATATTTTAACAGTACAAATTATGTTGTGTTTTATGCAAAAATTGCAATAGATTCTTTTTCTGCAAAAAGTCCCTTTTTTTTAATTATAACAGATTTGGATTAATTTGAAAGTTGTATCAGGGTTTGATTAAATAAATTAGGTTTTTTTAATTGTACATATTGATACAAAATCAGTCCTTTTTAATTCTACCTTTGTATTTTTCAATGTGGTTCTGCTAGTCTAATATTAAACTAGAAGCACCATGTGTTTTTTTTTGTAAACGGTACATAGTACGAAAAATTTATTGGTGGTACAAATTGGCACAAATTCAGTTCTTTTTAATTCGACCTTTGTTTTATTTTTTATCTTATTTTTTTAATGTGGTCCTGCTAGCTTAATATTAACCTAGCTGCGATTAACCTAATCGATTCTGCCTAGTTGGTCCTGCTAGCTTAAGAGAGGTGCTTAAGTTTCTGTCGCCGATAGAGTCAGTCGGCCAGTGTCTGCGCGCCGCGCTTTCGCACACATGCTCATCATGCAACAAAAATGCAACTTGTATGAAAAATATTCTGTACGTTCGTTACTTCCAACGATAGGAACTACACTTGTAAGAATTTCGGGAATTTGTCTTCATAAATTACGTAGAACTAAATTAAGTAAATTTTTTTTCGTGGATATGGGAAATGTCCGCGGACCAGTAAAATTTCTCCGCGGGCCACTAATGGTCCGCCGGACCAGCGGTTGAGAATAACTGCTCTATAGGACTTGATGGATACCGTATTAGCAGAAATTTAATTTCTGTTGATAAGACATCCAGAATATAAAAATCGCCATGCGTTTCGATGATAGTGAGTGGAATTATTCGAGTTTTCTTTACCTGTTAGTCAAATGCAACCATCAATCATCTTTAAGTCGCCCCGGAGCGACACGGCAAATAATAATAATAATAATAATAATAATATTCGCCCTTTCCCCTAACTAAATATACTAGTAAGGGGTGAATTAGGGACAGTAATATTATTATTATATTTTTTTAATGAAATGAGCAGAAATTCTTATTATTAACTTAATTCTAGGCAAAAACATAAATTTGGAATTTCAAATGTTGAAAGTATCACACTTTGTATAATAT